TTTTTCCCCAGGAAGAAGTTGAAAATTGATTTTTCGCCTCCACTCTCCTTTTGTTTAACAATTCAGAAATGTAAAACTATAAAAACCACTCATTTTTACCATTTAATTTAACGAATATTAAAATTTGATGCAACATTGAAGAGATGAAAAAATGATTGAAAAATCTGCAAAAAGTTTTATCAAAGCGTTTCCTTGTTAAACACATTTTACTATATATTATAGTATATATAAGACTAGTTACATTTTTTTAATATGAATTTTGAGAATCAAAGTCCTAGTGCGAGAAATCCATATATGTACTCTGCTCTCGATTAACGTATCTTTTTTCAGATCACGCATAATTTAGTGTATATTTTTTGAAATTTTTTAATTAGAGGATGTATCCTTGCATAACTTAATTTTTGTTCTATGATTCCAGGTACCTTTAGATCAGCCTTGCACTGCATTAGACATGATAGCAAACATCACACAGTCTCCACCTGATCTTTGTTGAAGATACATACTACTCTACCGGTGGCAATTCTAAATGATCATCACATAAAATACTGTCTATCTAAGAGCTTAATAAAGAAAGAAGAATAAAGAAAAATATATATACTTTTAAGCATGTAATGAACCTTTAACGAATTCTACTGTTTTTTTATAAGATAGACTGAAATTTGCACTCTTATTTTTATCATTCCTCTACCATATAATTAATTGAAACATGTACTCAATATTCATAGTTTAAAAATAAGAGACGCTGTACTAGTTTTAGTTAGAAGTAATAATGTTGTTGAATGATCAATTTCGTTGTAGTCTTTTAGCTGTGTTGGAAAACATGAGACAAGGCACATAAATGACATTAAATGTGACAATGATAAAGCTGTTCATAGCCATTTTTGGTTTCCCTTTGCTACAAGTCTTGCCTTATACCGGGCAATAGAACCATTTGCATGTCTTTTCAGTTTAAAAATCCACTTGCAGCCGATAATGGACCTGTTAGATGGAGCAGAGACTATGGACCAGGTATTGTTGTTAAGAAGGGCTTGATATTCAGCAACCATGGCCTCTTTCACTTCTTTCACTTCTGATTTAAGTTTAGGACAGAGGTTCCACTTCATCAAGATGAGAAAGAAATGTTCTTGGTTTCAAGGAGCCTGTTTTAGACCTTGTGATCATGTGATGAGGTGGTGGAGCTGCAGGAGAAACATTAGTAGAATTGTTTGAAACAGTAGCAGCATGATCAGTTAAAGTGTCATTCAATATTGGCAACTCAACAAAAAGAGGTATTGTGGAGTGAGATGAGGAACTGTTGGATGTAGAAGGTGTAGAGGTAGTGGAGTGGGAATCTGGACTGGGAGATGTGTGAGAAGGATGTATAGGAGATGTGTGAGGAGAATGAGAGTGAGGTGATTGAGTAGGGGTTGGAGTATGACTCAAAGTGGAATTATGATCTAAAACTGAAGTAGGTGAAACAGGAGGGGAGGTGTGAATGAAAGCAGGTATAGTATCCTTATCAGAATAGGAATTTGTGTTTTTGCAGAAGGGAAAGTTGAGTTCATCAAAGACAACATCTCTTGTAACTATAATTTTGCCAGAAGGAAGTAAAATTTTGTAACCTTTGTGTTTAGAGCTGTAACCAAGAAAGGTAGATGGTAAGGATCTGGGTTGGAGTTTGTGTTTATTATAAGGTCTCAGGTTAGGATAACATAATGAACCAAAAACTTTAAGGGTAGAGAAGTTAGGACTGTGGCCATATAGTTGTTGTAAGGGTGATATGAAGTTAAGAGATTTAACAGGTAACCTGTTAAGAGTGTAAACCGCAGCACTAAAGGCATCATCCCAAAATCTTAAAGGAACATGAGAGTGATAAAGGAGAGAAAGGCCCATTTCAACAATTGTTCTATGTCTTCTTTCTGCTACTCCATTTTGAGCTGGAGTATAGGGGCATGAAACCCTATGATTAATCCCTGATTCAGTAAAAATGGACACAAGATTCCTATACTCACCCCCCCACCCCAATCACTTTGAACAGCCTTAATCTTGTGATTCAACTGAGTTTCAACAAGGTTTTTAAAATGAATGAAGACTTCTTTCACTTCTGATTTAAGTTTAAGAAAATATATCCAGGTAAATTTTGTATATTGATCAACAAAGCAAACATAGTATTGAGAACCATTAACAGATTTAATAGGAGAGGGGCCCCAAACATCTGTGTGAATAAGTTCAAGAGGTTGAGTGAAAGTAGTGTGAGATTCAGAATAGGGAAGAGCATGGCTCTTAGCTTGAAGGCAAGAACCACAAACAAACTTTTCATTAGAAGAAACTGAAACATTACAAGACTTCATAACCTTGGAAACAACATCAAAAGCAGCATGACCTAATCTAGAGTGCCACAATTCTAGACTGGTATTTTTATTGAAAGCAGCAACATTAGCAGAAAGTAGAGTAGGTGAGCTGGTGGCTGAAAGAGCTTGAGAAGAGGTTGAGGGGCTGTTGATGTCAAAGCTGTAGAGACCATCCTTAAGAGAACCTTTGAGAAGGACTTGGTGGGTAGCTTGATCCTTGATAAAACAATAAGAGGGGTGAAACTCAAAGAAAACAGAATTATCCAAGGCAAATTTAGAAACACTTAAAAGATTCTTGGTTATACTTGGGACATGTAAAAGATTTTTAAGCTGGAATGGTTTTAATAAGTTTGTAGGATTAACAAATTGTGAGCTGCCAAATGAGAGATCAACAGACCTGATCCATTGCCAACATGAAGTTTGTTGTGGCCTTGATATTCTGAAGCAATGCTGAGGTTGGACATGTCATTAGTCACATGATTAGAGGCTCCTGAATCAGCAAACCACAATGCATCTTGATTTGAGTCTTGAGAAACCATCATAGCATTCATGTTCTGTCCCATTGATGGAGTTGTGACTTGAGCAAGCTGAGCAGTCTGAGTTTGTTGAGGTTGTAGGTTGGTAGGTCCTGGATAAGTGGAATCATATCTGTGATAGCACTTATCCGCAGTATGATTAGAGAGGCCACAGAGTTGACATGAAGGTCTATTGTTATATATAAAACCTCTTCCACCTCTTCCTCTAAAGTTGTTATTTCTTCCTCTCCCTCTTTGAGCCTGAAATCCACTTCTGTTCTGTGAGTACTGGTTGTTTGACCTTTGAGAGGGATTGTTGTTGTTGTTGCTTGAAGCTAGGTTCACAGTAGGTGTGGATCCATCAGGGTTCACAATAGATTGAGTGCTCGCATCAATTCTTGATTCCAGGCTGAGAAGTAAGGCATATACCTCATTTAGACTGTAAGATTCCACTCGAAATGTTACAGCAACCACAGCTGGGTTATACTCAACCCCCAATCCAGCTAGAATGTAGAGAATGTGGTTTTGCTCAGACACATATTCACCTGCTGTGCCAAGAGCATCACAGCAAGCTTTTACCTTACCAAGGAATTCTCTCATGCTGCTTGACCCTTTCTTGAGAGTCTGTAGCTGTAGCTTATGGTGCATCAGCCTTGCTTTTGACAACCCTGAGAAGTTTGCTTCAAGAGACTGCCAAATCTCTCTTGAGGTGTTCTTGCCTACCATCATGATGAGGAGGTTTTCACTGAGAGATGCAAGAAGCCAGGAGGTGAGCAGTTGATCTTGTCTGACCCAAGATGTGTACTCAGGATTAAGAACAGGCTCAGATGTGTTTTCAGAGGTGACAAACCGAGTTGGTGGTGCAGCATCTTCAGAGATGAAGCCTTCAAGGCCATAGCCAACAATAGCACTCCAGATCCGTTGTTTCCACAAGAGATAATTTGCATCAGTGAGTTTGATGGTGATGAGTTGGTGTTGTGGTTGAATAAAGGTGGAGATATTCGAGGAAGAGGAGTTTGTACTCCCTGTGGGAGATGGACTGGTCATTTTGATAAAGATCCCCTCAGATTTTCAAGAGGATAAAAAAAGGGAACAAAAGGAAAAAGGTTTCAGAGCTCAGCTGGCTCTGATACCATGTTGGAAAACATGAGACAAGGCACATAAATGACATTAAATGTGACTGTGATGATAAAGCTGTTCATAGCCATTTTTGGTTTCATTTCAAAGCAGCAAAACGATAATGATTGAGACTGCTAGGGTTACATTTGGATGGAGCATTAAATAGCCTATTCTCCTTTTCATCCTATGGCTCACAATTGATCAGAGAAAAATACAAAAATGTTAAAATAGTAAACACAGCTGCATGTACTATCCTTTTGTCTGCATGCACACGTCCTTCATCCTCCTTGCCAGGTAAGGCTCCTTGACAGGTAAGACTTGTGTGATGAGTGTATTTCATCAAGTTGGTATATGAGTTGTGATAGTTTCGACCATTATAAGTCATGGTCTATCAAATAAAGTCTATAGGAATCGAATTATCCCAATGGTTAATAGGAGAAACAACCCAGGAAGCATCGTTGGCAAGATACACTGATCTCTCCGTCAGACGACCAATCAATAAAAAAATGTTCGATCCAACTTTGTATATTTCCCTAGAAGAATGACTATCTCTCTTGTGTAACTGTTTATTGTGTTTTTGTGCGTATTTTCGTGTGTTTTATGTGTTTTAGTTTAGCCTTTTTAGGTTCGTTTTAGTGTCAACCGGTCAATTGTATCGTATTTCGTGTATTTTCTTTATTTTTCTCTTTATTCTATTTTTGGCGTACTTCTCCGTGCTTTTGGGTGTATTTCAGGTTTATTTTGTGGATGAAGAGAAGAGTCGAGTCGAACTCCGAGAAATTTTGAGCCAATTCGTACGAGCCGTTTTCATTCCGAGTATGTCGAGCCTTGTCGACCAAAGACTTCAAAAGTTGACCTGGGGGCTCACGACCTCGCACCTCGGCTCACGACCCCGTGCCGCTGCTCAGGGTCACTCGCGCCCTTGAGCCAGGACGCGCGAGTGCCACCATTCCCTGTGTCCGCGCGCGCGAGAACGCCCGCCAGGTCGAGAGTATCAAACTCCCTCGCGCCGACCTCGCGCCTGCTCCGTGCCACTGCAGCCCGCGACCCGCGAAGTGACCCGCCAGCTCGAGATAGTTGTTGCACCTGCCAAGCCCGCGCGCGCGAAGTGCCTGTACCTTCCTGTCCGCGACCTGCGGAATTTTTCGCCAGCTCGAGAGTATCTGTCATTAAATGTGCGTGAAACTAGTGTGTGTTTTGAGCTGCACTATAAATACATTTTGGTCCCTTGTATTTGGATCATCTAGATTTCATTTTCACTTTACCACTTTGGGAATAGCTATTTTTTTTCTTTAGTTTTCTCTCTTCTCTCTCTTGGGAGCTCTATGGCATCATTTTCCGGCGAATTTTCCGGCGACTCTTATTTTGTTCAAGTTCCGAGCTTTTGACTCCGATTTTCGTCTAGCACGCAATAGAAGATTGGGTATTTACTTTTAAAGCTCATTACTTTGATTTTTGCCCCGTCTTTACTTATGATGTTTATCAAGGTGATTTTGGGTGTTTGCTTGATGATGGAGGGAATGTTTGGACTTGGTCATTGCTCTTGCTTGTTTTAGTAGGGATTAATTACTTGCCTATCTAGATTAAGGGTTAAGACTCTATTTAGAGCTTAATCACTTAGGTTAGAATGTTAGGATTAGTGACGTAGGGCTTAGAACTTGCAAATTGTTTGTCATTGAGTTCGTTTGGTGTCGATAGCATAGAGACTCCGGTAGTGTTAATTGCTTTATTCTCTAGTTCAATTGTTGCTTTATATTCCGAGTTCGATTAGCATTAATTCACTCTCAAACCCATCGATTAGCATGTTTAGCTTTTATTTTTCCTTTTTGTGTGACTTGGACAATTAAGTGGTGAACAAAGCTCCGAACCGTCTTCCTTTGACAACGACTCGAGGTCGGGTAGCTCGGTTACCAACTACCCACAAAATACTACAAAACAGTAACGTGGAACCATTAAAGCTTACTGATAAAGCGACCACCCAATCTTTCATCCTTAGAAGTCAAGAATTTGTATGGATACATGCGTCACCACCATACGCCCCCAGCTGGCATAGTGCAGTTATTGTACTTTTACCTTTCTCTTGCATAAATACCTCAACTCATTCCCCTAAATAAAACAGGATCATATAAAAACTCTACACACACAACATATACTCTCAATATACTATTTTGAAAAAATTCTACCCCGCTTGTCGATCTCATCTGCAAATTGGCAAAATCGGTTTCCCTCTTCCTTGTTAATTGCTTCATTTAAGTTTTTTTCTTATTATCTTCATTACCCCATCCTTGATTGTTATAATCCATTTATGTTATTAACTGTTCGATAACCCTTCTGATTAAACTATCCATTAAAACTTAACTAATAATTTTTTGCGGGCATTTTTCAACAAAAGGACGTTAGAAAGAGAGTGGCCATCAAGGGTTACCTCTGGACCTGCCCTAATAAAAAGTCATTCCCCACTGAAGTTTTTTCTTAAACCAAAATACTCCATGGGACCATGTCGCTCCCCCTAGCCATATAATTTTTCTTGCTGGAAAAATGGCGACACACCCTGCCCGCTTATCTTGTTTCATGATCATCTGGGAGAAAGGGCGGCTCAGCCGACCCCCCTAACTTTATCATACTTTTACTCTTCTCAAACAAAAGTTTCTTCAAAGCTTCAAATATTATCTTTTTGCTTTCTCTCATCATAAAAAATTCAGATCTCTAACCTCACGTCATGATGCACATTAGCCTACCTTCGATAAGAATACATATCGATTAGCGCACCCTCGATAAGAAAGTCAAGAGTTAGGAGCCTCCGGTCTAGAGTAACAACTACTTCCTAAATAGCTTGAGTCCTAAGGTGGATATGACAAGAATATCCTATAAGATTTCTTCCCATATCGTACCCTTAGGTCCTACAAATCATCAACCCAACGATCAAGATGTAATAGTGGGGCAGTCACTCATTGTTTTTAATCATGATTGTCTGAAACCTAGATCGCCAAGTTTGGTTGTTACTAAGAATCTGAGGGCCAGGCCAAGTCCCGTCCCGAGGAATAATCTCCATCCTCGATTCAATCTCAACTGACAAGGTTAGCTGAGAACACAAGCTGTCCCCGTGATTGATAAAAGTTGTCGAATCGACAATAATAAAGTTGATATGTGCAAAGATGCTCCGAAGAACGACTCGTTAGAATATCATCCTGCTGAAGAAAAGTCGGCCAAAGACTACTTTTCGACCAACACTTACTAATACAAAAATAGATGATAGCCCGGCCGGAGCAAGCCTCCAAAGAACAAGCCTTATGAAAATTACTTTTATCAAAAGACTAATAAATTTGTAATAGATAGGCAAAGTTATCTATTTGATAGACATATATAGACAAGAAAAGTTATTTATGCGTTCATCCCAACCGAACAAGTTATATGTTCTATAAACATTTGTGGGTACTTCATGACGACTTTGCAATTTTTAGCACAATCGTTGTACATTTGCTTGTAATTTCAGCGAGATCAGTGTACTTTTACTTGTATTTTTTAGCACGGTCATTGGACTACAAGAGTAGATCCATGTTATATCCCACAACTGTTTGATAGGATCATACTTATGACGATCACATTCATGACGATCCGACTCTCAACTACCCAACTTGTGACTATCCTTTCAAGGAGAGAGATCACCTTCTACGAAGACGACCATGCTAAAGAAATTCCTTTATAGATAAAAACATTCTAACGATCTCCACCCACGAAGATCTACAAATAAAGACATTCAATATCCGACAACATGACCGGATTTCACCAAAAAAAGCCCACCCTCTAAAAATTCTTCAACCAAAGAAATCCCCCAAGAATCGGTAGAATTTTCCTTTGCCTCGTCAAAATTCCAAATATTCGAAAGTGTCGTCCTTCAGGCGAAGACACAAGTAATAACTCATCACTCCCGAAAAGGTGCCAATTTTCGGACAAAACCCAAATACAAACCTCACAATCCCAGTTAGCGCCGGCCCTAGGCCACAAAACTATCGAGTATAAACTCGAAAACATACATATCAACGTAAAAGCGCCGATCTTATGCCACATTTTTACTGCTCGAGATCGCACTTTCGGTTAGCGCAAGTCTTAGGCCACGCAACCGTAGAGTATAAACTCAAAAACTTACATCTCAAGGTAAAAGTGTCGATCTTAGGCCACATTTTTACTGCTTGAGACCACACTCCCAGTTGGCGCCGACCTTATTAGGTCACAAAGCCCTTGAGTATATTATTTATTTTATTTTATGATATTTTATTCTAATGTATCTAGTTTTTATTTTTATTTTCCGGATTATATAATGCGTTCTGATTTGTCTTATTCTAATTTTTTTATTTCATGTAACAAATGTATTTATTTAGATTTATTTATGTAGTGTTACTATGACTTAAAATTGTTTCATTGGAACCACCAAGTTGCCTTTGTGTTGTGGTTGAAGAGTTTGTCTACCCACTTACGTTTTAAGGAGTTCAAACCCCTTTTAAATTATGCCCCTACCTAATTTTGCTAGTAAAGTCCTTGAGGGTAAAATGATAAATTAATGAATTCTTGTATAGAAAATTAACAATATTTGCACCAGCCTTGCATTTGGTGCACACGCTATTATAAGGGAGGAATAGTGCGTGCAAAACCTAAATATAAGGAGTTTTCATTTATTTTTTACAATACAAGATAAAAACATCCAAATTTTGCAAAATACAAATGTATATAACATATTTTACCCTGTAAATTTTTTTGTGTAAGTAACTTATATAATCCCTTTAAAATTGAATGCCGAATTAAATATATAACTACTTAATTACTTGTGTAACAAATGAAACTACTTTTAATACGATACGAAAAATATGAAACATCATTAAAATGCATGCATAATCTACAGTTTTGACACCAGAAGCTCCAACTAATTACAATGATGGAGCTGGAGAGTTGGTTGCTTTTCCTATCATTTCCATTGCTACAAAGGGCCTTTCAGCTGGTACCTGAAACCACATAAATACATAAAAAATTAGTCAAACTCAACATTTTTTTTTTTTTCATTTTATTATAGTTTTTTCTTACACATAACAATAGGTATATTAGATTTCTAATTAATTAAAACATACATAGAAGTGTGCCGGAGCTTTTCTAATATAAGTATTCTTAAAAATACGTATATAAGGGTGGGCTTTATTTGGTGAAATTCGGGCTTTATTTGGTGAAATTCTCATATATGTAAGAAAAATGAAAAGTTATGTTTTGTCGAGAACATAAAAGACAATATCTGCAGCAAGTCGAACTTCGGGATATTGCTCTCAATTGCATATTATATCTGAACATTTAGTGTATAAAAAATGTATATTTAATTCATACATGCTGCATATTTAGTTTATGATCAATGTACACTTAGTTCATATCTAATGCATATTTTAATTGCACGTTGAGTTCATAAATAAATTTCTATTTATGTCATACAAAATGAATATTTAATCATATCAATTGCATAGTTTGAGTGCACATTTACTTTCATATACAATTCATATTTAGTTTTCACTTAATGTGAACTAGGATCAACGGTCAATGTCCAAATGGTTAAGTCAATATTTAAATAAATATAAATCTTAGGTATACATCTTGTTCTCTACTTAATGGCTTGGATTGTGCCACATTTTTATTTTAAGAATATGGTCTCATTTGATCCAATCAACCTCTCTCTCTCCCTCTAAAAAATATAAATATTTATTTAAAAAATATTAGCATAATTATTAGGACCGGTTCTATGTTAAGAAATAGAATCAACCCCTTCCCTCAAAAAACATGCGTGAGGAAGTAAATGTAGCACTTTTTTTTTATCACCAAACTTTTGATTTAAAATATTTATTAAATGATGACAAAATTAATTATGTTGATGGACTAAGAAAGAAAAATAATGATGAATTAGAGGTTGAACTTACAAAATGACCGGCTCCTAGAATCCAATAAAATGACAAATTTTCATGGGATTTTTCGAATCCAAATAGCATTCCCTGGCCATTTGACGTGTAAGCTATTGGTGTCCTTGCCGTGCTCATGAAATTCTGAAGCCCCTCCCACCTGATCATATACATATACAAATATATCAGTGATATTAATTAATAATAATGATTAAGGATGAGTTAATAATTAATTGATGGTAATCACTTGTTAAAAATGGATTTATATATTGGGAAAAAAAAAATGGAGGAAAAAATTCAAAGTACTTAATCAATTAACTCTTACTTGAGCTTTTTCACCCATGCCTCGGTTCCTTTCGGTGAGCATATGACATCCAACTACAAAATAAACAAATAAACAGAAAAGATAAAAGTGAACCGAATGAAAAAAGAGGGGAACAAAATGAGAAGAAGAGAAAATTAGGTTATAATTACCTGGCCACTGTATATAGTCACAGGGACTCCTTTTTCCAACAGTATATCAACCTGCAAATTAAATTGTGTCTCCAAAATAAATAAATTTGAATGAAAGATTGCTCGAAACAATTAATAAATAAAAGTATTTAAAAAGGGATCCGTATAGTTAGTACCATCAATTCATAGCACTAATTTGTCTTAATTGATTATACGAACACTTGTCATCATTACCACCTCTAAAATTTTCTTTTTTATTTTTCTTTTTTTTAATTATGGAGTACTAGTACGTACCCCGTGCGATACACGAAACAGACATACTAAATAAGTTATTTTCACAGGTTCTGTTCGTTTAAGTGTAAAAAGCAATAGTTTATCATTACTTTTTTACCCCTGTTAATCAGCGTTAAGTTTAAAAAACAATAGAGTTATAATCTATTTTCACATCTTTTAATCAACGTTTTTTTAGAGAGAATATTAAATATGAGCATGTTAGGGCTAGCTTGTAAAATAATTAATATATTATCTCACTAACACATTTATACTAATATAAATTTGATTTTAGTATATATATCTATTCTTTTATATAAGGGAAAACAATAATTTTAATTATTTGTTCACTATGTAATACGTAAGTATTATTTTATTGTAAATTTTATTGTCATATAATGTCATTCTTATTTATAAAAGTTATATAAGTTGTACGTCTTCTTTTTCTTAAAAAATATTCAATTCACGCTAGTATTATTTATTTATGTAATCAATTTAAAACATGTAAATAAATTTAAAATTAAATAGAGTATAAATATTTTACAAAATATGCACATGTGTTTTTAAAATTTAACTTTGTATATTAATTAAACAATTTTGATTTAGCGAATGCCAAAAACTCAATTGATTCTATAAGCAAGATTTTTCTAATTTGCATTATAAGGATTTATAGTTTGTTTAGCATACTCTGCAATGAAAATGTATTTTACAAGAATTTCATTATAGAAAGAAGTCAAAATAAAAAAATTGATAAAAAAAAGAAAAAACATGGTTGACAATAATATACAAATAAATTCTTGAACAGTTAATATTTTTCAATTTTAATTTTTTACCATTAGTAAAACTATTTAATGCATCTGGTCATTATCTCTTAAATTGCAAATTATATTGATTTGAGGAACAATTTATTTTTTATATATAACGAAATAAAGCCTAAGACAAAGGTATATTGACAAAGATTAATTCACACACTTGATTTCGCCTGATTAGTTGGAATAAGAAATTCTACCTAACCTGTTACGGTTTTCTATAAATATTTTTAGATAAAAAGTGAATATTTATGATAAAAAATTAATATTATGGTTAGAACTTAAAATATGTTGTAATATTTATCTTGACCAAAATATTATTAACATGAATCACGGAAAATCAATCATCATGTAATTTATTATAATGGATATTAGTGAAATTATTGCAGATATTAATAAAATTATTTAAGGAAACAATATTGTTGATCATATATGATTTGATCTTATTTGAAAACGTGTATATAGAAACAATTAATGAATATATTTAAAAAAATTCCAAAAAAAGTATGCATTAAATGCTTCAAAAAATGTTGATTACTATTTTTAGTAAATGGTTATTTTATTATATAGATATAGATAGATATAGATATAGATATAAATATAGACNAAAACATAGATCAGAAAAGTGTCATTCATCCCGATTTTGCTTAATTTAAGAAATAGCTAATTATGAAGAAACCACAAACCTTTAAGACCAATATCCGTACGTAATTTAGTCAAACAAACAGAAAAATCAATTTTGAAAATTGTTTCAAGCTTCTGTAATTTGAGGACTCCATTTTTAATTAATTAATTAATTTTTCACTCATTTAAAATTAAATTACCTCGTAAATTCTTGGTTTCATAAATTCTCCAGCCAGTGCGTTGAAAACCAGATCCGAGCTGAATTTCCATCTGTGACCACATAATACAATAAATATATACAATTACAATTATAATTATATAAGATTACACATTTAAACAATATTTGTTTTAGAAAAAAAAAAGAGAAATTAACTAATAAAAGTACTCACATAACATGGGGTGGTATGATCTTGAGTTTCTCCCTTATCACTCCATTCATCAATGTGTTAAGGTTAACAGAATTAGAAACTTTTGAAGAAGAAGTCGAATATGTGGTGTATCTATTGGTTATCGAGTTTGAATTTACTAAAGGGTCATTCACGGCATCCAACATGAAATTGTAGATGTCCTGAAAAATTAAACAATTTAAAAAAAAATAAAATGATCAGCCTATCCTTTTTCATTCCTTTGTGTTTATATTTAGGCAATAAAATATTAACAAGGGCAAGAACGGAATTTACCACACCCCAGGAGTTGTTTAGGAGGACATCTGTAAGATGCCAAAATGTTGAGGTCGCATTAACAAAGTCGCCAGCCTCAACTTGCTCCTCTATTTTCTTGGCAAGACTGTATTTTTGCATAATTAATTACAATTTTGTTATTAACTAATAGTATTATATTAAGTAAATAGAAAAAAAAAAAATAAAGGTTTGGACCTGTTGGTCCTGCCGAGGCCATTTTCGTCCAGTCGAGACACATATTTCAGGACCGGGCCCCACNGTTGACTTTTATTTTAGTTAACAATTGAAAAATAAAGGATTAAATTACTTACCGTAAAATCCGCTGGTGATATCCATGAGGAACCCAAAACAAGTCCTACATATTTTCCAAAATAATGAATGAATCTATCTATACTTATATAAAAGACATCCTATTTATTAGAAATAGTAGGTAAAAAAGTTAAAGTTAATTAATGCTTGCTGGATATAGAATGACATTAATTACAGATTTGTTTTGGTATTTATAGGCTTGACATTAAAAATTTGTTATGGGATAAAAATCAGAACCGATTTTTTTACCTTTACTGGAAAAGTCAAAGGTAAGTATAAATTTGTTTTATCCCATAACATCGATTTAGTTAAAAAAATCTCATAAAATCATGATTAAAATCATAATAAAAATCATGATAATTAAGAAACTTTTGTAACTATAATAAAAACATAACAAAACAAAAGAATCATAATGGCGACATTGTGATTAATCTGTAAAATTGCAAACATGTCAAATGGCGCTATTACTTTTAATCCAAAAAGAGTTTAAAAATGCAAATATAGATAGATTTTTTTAAGAGAATCTAAACGATCTTAAGATCCCAAACATATGAAACGTGTATGCATAAAAATCTCATTTCTATGAAGATAAACATGTTTCAATATGTACATATATCATAAATATGAGAAGAAAATTATGTTTCTTTTCATGGGAGGTAACTAAGTTTTCAATGTTTCAATATATATACAAAATTTTAATTAAATTTCTAAATAACTTAAAAGTTTTCAATGTTTAAACTAAATGATAAATTATTTATAAATCTACATTTTATTTAAATATGTATTTTCATTTATATTAAAAATAATTTTAAATGTAACAAAATTTATTTCAAAAATATCGATATTTTCGATGGATTGGTGTTGACCGGTTTGCTAGCAAACATTTTATTCAAGCGAACCGAACTGGTCGATAAACCAATTCCTGATCCATCCGGTCAGAGTACTGTCCGGTCTGGTCCAATTTTAAAAACAATGGGTAAATCATGATTAATATTATGTATATATTTAATTTATAATACAATCATAATATTATTTCTCCGTGTATTGCACGGGCCACGTACTAGTAATAATGAAAGTAGAATAATATAATATCAATCAAATCTCAAATTTAACTCAATTTTATCCAACCCTACTATCTCTCATATTATTAATATAATTAAATAATATCAACCAATCATTTTTATACATCACATCAACTTTAATTCATTATTCATCCACTCACATAATTCTAACTATCACTTCCAATCATTTTTCTCCTATTTTACATCAAATCAACTTTAATTATTTTATTTAAATATTATTTTAATATATCTACTAACAACTAGTCGCACCACTTTTTTTTCAAAATTAACTATAGTTAAAAAACAAACAAAATAAAAACTAGCTGAATTCATAAACAATCACGTTTGTTCTCCGTAAGATTGAATAAGTTAGAAGAATGTCAACGCAAATTTCAACATCTTCACCACTTGAAAAAGAGTGGGTTACTACTCTAGCTTTATGATTGGTCCAACAACCTACCTGAATTCTTTTATCAAACAATTAGCTTGCTCTTTGTCTCCATCACTAATCAATTACTATAAAAGAAATATAAAAAAGAGGCCAAAGAGAGATTTTATAAAATTTATGAATTATATATACATCATAGGAGTAATATTATTTCAATATATAATTATAAATAAAAATATGACAAATTATATATATGCATTATTACCTCCAAAAGTTGCTTTTAAATTTCCAGCCTCAATTACATGGAGAACATTTAAGGCAAGAATAGCAGCATGTTTTCCTCCATAAGATTCTCCCACAATATAGAGAGGACTCATTGGTAGACTCTCACAAGCGTTAAAAACTTGAATCAAAAGCTTTGTCAAATCTAATGCAGCCTCTTCATCACTTGTCGCCAACAATCTTGGATCATTTACATAACTAAATCCTGTCCCTGCTGGACTATCCTATATATATAAATATATATACAAAAACCCAACTTATTACACTTTTAAATTAACAAATTAAATGAAATAGGAAAAACAATATATAAACAAATTTTTAATTTATTTTTTCAAAAAAAAAAAAATTAAAATAATTAAAATACCCACAGGTCCACCCTGCAGCCAGAGAATGACGGGCCATGGATTTGCTGAATCTTTAGTCCTGTTTGGACTACGATAATACCACCAAAACAAATTCACCTCTGTATAGAAATAAATAAATAAACAACTAAGGAAAGGAAAAAGAAAAGGGACCAAATAATAATTATAATGTATTTTATACATTATATTACACATACAAAATAACCAAAATAAAATAAATGGAGATATAGAAAAAAATGAGTCTTACGGTCCCTAACTTCAACATATCCCCAGCGTTCTGATCCATCTTCATTTCCCATTTCATTTAACATAAATCCAAATTCAAATATTTCAAACAACAAAAGAAGACGAACGACGAAAGAAAACCTAAGGTGACTCTTTTCCATTTTTTTTTTTCTTTTTTAAAAACTTTAGCTAACAAAAAGCAGCTGTTATATATGCAGGGCATGGAAATGAAATCAATGGTGTATTTATAGGAAGAATTTTTCAGAAAATAATACTAATGAAAAATAGAAAGTCCTCTACTCTCGAGTATATTTAATAGTTGACCCTGAATATAATAATTCATATGTACTTTAAATTTCACGTCAAGGAAGCGTGTCGAAATTATTCATGCTCGATTTTTAAATGTTAAACGAAGTAAATGTTGAAAATGTCGATTTTAGTCCTATTTGGTTCAAAATATTGCTGCAGTGTTACTTATGTTCGTTGAGTGACTGTGAGTCCAAGAATTAATATTTGTTAAATACATATGTATAAGACGAATATTGTAGTAAAGATCGTCTCAATGGGATGATACAATTCTCTACTAACTAAGAATATAGAAATAAAACAACAGTTATCTAAAGATAACATAAGGCTAATACAGTAAATACACAAATTAATATACACAATAACACCCCCTCTTAGGTTGGAGCATGTTTCGAATGTCCAACTTGCCAAGAAAGAAATCAAATTCACGCTTTCCAAGCGTCTTGACGAAAATGTCAGCGAGTTGTTTCCCTAAAGAAACATGAGTAGTATAAATGAAATCCTAAAGAACAACGTCTCGAACAAAATGACAATCCACCTCATAAGTAGTATAATTGATAGATTTTTTTTTTTACTCAAAATCCAACCCAAATAAACTTAATTAACTCAAATTTTTTCAATGTTATCATATAATGAACTAATATCAATAAATCATGTTCACGCATCAAATCAATTTTAATTCACTCTTTATTCACTCATATAATTTTAACTAACAGTTACTTTCAATTAAATCTCTCCAATCGGACTATCATTGTACTTTTCGTCAACGATAAAAAGTTCTCACCGATCACGCTTTTAATTGCTATTGCTTTAACGAGAAAATTACACAAAATCTCTATATGGGATTCTTTATTATTACCTTGTGCTAACTTTGCCTCATAAGTCAGGCACTCTCTCACTTTTGCCTCCCCAAAAAATAAATAGAATTATTTGTAAGTGGGGTGCAATATATTTTATAATGATCTATTTAAAATAAGACTTATGTAAGGATATCATAATACAATTTAAACATTATCCATTAATTATTCAATCCCTTTAATTTTTCAATCAAAGTATATTTTATTCCAAAATTAATTAAATCAAACTATTTGACTACCAATAAAGAATGAAACATGTATTTTTTGTTTTATTTTATTTCAACTACAATATCAATTTTTTAATACACGATTTGTGTAAAGTAAAAATTTTACTTTCTTTAATACATCAATTTTGCACTGTAAAAGTTTCTACTTTGTTTGTCAATTATATTTTTGGTTAATTGTTAATCAAATTCTCATTTAATTCAAATATGGTATAATTTTTTTGATTTGGATAAAATTTAATTTGAAAATATTATTTTGTTGATCAATTGAGATGTTACTAAAATCCTATTGGAATATTACTTCTTGATTAGTTATGGTATGGGTTGATTGATTGTTATGGTACGCTTGGTATATCATCTTTTCTTTGTGTTATGGTTGTTAAGTTGTGTGAATGATATTGCGTAATTTAAATAAATTGATGGATTTACATAAATATATATACCAAATAAGTTGATATGTTCCATGCACATTTACAAAGAAGTATCGACAATAGTATTCTCCAGATTTTTCTTTCATTAATATCGAGTAAAATGCTTACAATATGAAAAAAAAAAATTGAGACACCTTTTTTTACCATAAGCGGTTATAATGGATCAATATATAGTATACCAAATAATTCGATTTCATACTTTTATCAATAAAATACAAAAAATAAAATTCAGTTTTACCATGAAATTAATTACCCGCGTACAAAAAAAAATTGAGACCCACGTTTTTTATATATAAAATAACAAAAGACTAAAAAAATAGTTATTAAAAAATAATTAAATAGAATCTGCCATTAACACAATTATTTTGGAATAGTTTTATAAAATTTATAATTGAATAAATTAACCGAATTTACACAATATGCGTAATTAGAGTATCTATAAAATGTAAATTTTTATGGTCTAATTATTTCCTTCATTATCCATGATTTGAGTAATTAAATATACAAAAATGAATAGCATTTATTAACTAATATTTAAATAAAAACTGTCATTAACACAATTTTTTGTATATTGCATAATTGATTATTGTTGTCGGTATTTCCATAATTGTAGTAATTATTTGCAGATTGAATAAATCAGACGAATTTACATAATTTGCGTAATTAAGGTATATTAAAAGTGCATTTAACAAAAGAATTACATGAAAAATATAAAACACTTATTAAATAATATATTACACAATTTAGTTGGAAATCTATCATTATATTAAAAGATTAACCATTTAACACTTTTAGTAAGTTTTTTCCACCAAATAGATTTAATATCTCCTAAAAATAGAGCAACATTAAATGTTGCCCTTAAATCATCGCAGTTGTTAATTTAGTTTGGAGAAAATCGTGGCAACTAAAACAAACAACATTAATTACGGCTGATTTAATATTTAAATGGTAAACAAATATTATTTTTTTATGACTGATTTAAATTACGTTTGTTTAAAAGTAAAAAACTACTTTTGTAATCTCAACAAATTTGTACTCTTTAACGTACGACTGATTTAAAATTAAGAATTTACTTTTGTATTTTCACAAAAAATCGTATAAGGAAGTATGGCTGAAATAATAATAAAAAATTAATTTGTTAAACCATATTTTGCACTCATAGATACGAATTCTCATCAAATTCAAGATTTAAAATTGTGAAGAATGTATATAGATGTGGACTGATTGAAGATATATGATTCCTTAAATTAAGGAATTTTTTCCGGTAAAAAAAAAATATAAACTTTAAATATAGATTTTATTAGTAGTGTATACCAAAGAATATTGTTACATTTAAAATTCCTATGAAGAATAATTCTATTAATTTTCAAATTCAACATCTCATAAAAATAATATAATACACTTTTACATTCTATGAAACAATATTTAAAATCCACCAGTCAACATGCATAAAATGTAAAATTACCTAACATGAATCATTTTAACTTTCTAAAATCAGTACACAATTTGCTCGGTATGTACTAATAGTCTAGTAGTTAAGAGTTAATATTTGCTATGACATCTATTGGTTGGAAAGAATTCCATTTTGTATGGAATTCGAAATGAAAAAACATATTCTGAAAATCAAATTTGGTTTAGAGATCGATTTCTTAATAGCCTTAAATTATGCAAATATATTGTTTCAGTTTTTAGGATTCTTTTTCATGATCTCAGTCTTTGCATTATATGAAATCTATACTTATATAAAAAGTCATCCTATTTACTAGAAATAGTAGACAGAAAAGTCAAAGGTAATTAATGCTTGCTGGAAATAGAATGATATTAATTACAGATTTGTTTTGATATTTATAGGCTTGACATTAAAGATTTGTTATGGGATAAAATCAGAACCGATTTTTTTACCTTTGCTGGAAAAGTCAAAGGTAAGTATAGATTTGTTTTATCCCATAGCATCGGTTTAGTTAAGAAAATCCCATCAAATCAGTTTTATATGTCAAGCCTATGAATATAGATTTAATCGGTCAAAATTAAATCCTTATTTTACGTCATCCATAATAAAGTAGATGTCAAACCTAAATTGAATGGTTTAGTTGTCTATATAGTCATTGATTTACGTAAATATATCTAATGTTTAAAGTTTGTGTAGATTGAAAATTCCTTCTTATCTTTTTACAAAAAATCTTATTATTATTGTATGGAAAATCAAACTCATAATGTTGTGTACAAGGTGGTCTTTAATAATATATGATTGTTTGTTTGTCGAATACTATCTTATTATATAATTTTCCTGCGTATTATAAAACTTTTATTGAATATTGCATCTTATAATATAGTATTCCTCAAATAAATATATCCCGTGCCTCGCAGGGGTCACGTACTATATATATCCCGTATATTTTTTTGTATTCATGTATATAATTATAAGTCTTGATAAATAGCCTTAAAATTGTGCACCCCGTGCATCGCACGGGCTCTGTACTAGTTTTGTAACAAATCACATAACTGATATTGCAGCCGAAATTTCCATATTTGGGTAAATCAGCCAAATCCACATGATTTGAGTAATTAAGGTATATTAAAAAATGTATTTTTTTATAACTTAATTAATTCCTTAAATAATAAATAATGAGCTGCAATTTCTATAAGGGATTACTGAAAATATACCATAAATTGTTAAATTAATTTCCTGAAACAGTAAATAATAGTTAATATTTCAAAAATAATCAAGCCTTTTTTATATAGACTAGTACGAATCCCGTGCGATGCACGGGCAAGAAATATTCACTAATATTTATAAATTAAAAATGCTCATTAAATAATATTTATATATACTTAAAATATGAATCAATATGTAATACAATTTACCTATATTAATTTGTTGAAAATGTTATATGTGCAAAATTACATAAAATATGTCTATTTAAAATTAGTACATGACCCGTACGGTGCAAGTAAATGATTATAAATTACATTATATTCGTTTCAAAATAGTTGTCATTTGAAATTTTTTATTCATAAATTCGATTTGACTACAATGTGATTCAAGTAAATAGAAATCTCTCTCTCTCTCTCTCTATATATATATATATATCAAATAATTTGATATGTTCCACGCACATTTACAAAGAAGTATCGACGACCATAGCATTCTCCCGATTTTCTTTCATTAATATCGAGTAAAATTCTAAACAATATGAAAATAAAAATATTGAGATACTATTTTTTACCATAAACGAGTATATTGGATCAATATATAGTATACCAAATAATTCGATTTCATACTTAACGATAACATACAAAAAGATAAAATTCAGTTTTACCACGAAATTAATTGCCACACGTA